GATCTGCAAGCTGGCAAGATTGCGTAGCTTTTATTAAGCATTAACACCCTGATGTAAAGAACGTTTGATATAGCATTTGGGAAGTGGTCCACATTGTAGCTTCTGCCTAATCTTGTCCGTTTTCTGTTTGTATTCATACTCTTTCTTTTTCCCTACTCTCCATGTTATATACATTAAGATTACTAGATATACTGGCTTACAAGCAAACTACTAGTAATTTACCAGGCAGTTTTTTTCCCTGTGAAAATACTGTAAAATGCATTTTCATATTACTAGTTGTGCTTGATCTGACCATTAGGATCCCATAATCTTGAGTTATGAGTTCATAGTTAACATTTACTTATAAGTGCAGATGTGAATGTATGGTTACGGTACAGCTTGAAAAATTCACTATGAAGAAGACATTCTGGATGGTGTCCCTTGTGGTCATTTTGCTTTGTTTTGCATATTTAGTTACTTTCATTCCTGTCAATGAGGAAGCATGACGACATAAAGTAATATCCTCAAGATGGTCCCTAATGGTGATTGATGGATAAACAAAGATTGGTTTTCTCCATCCTGTGCTGATTTATATTTGTGTGTGTGTGTGTAAGTTTCATGCATTTTAATCTTATTTATTTAGAAAAATTCAGAGAAAAATGGTATTTTCAAGTCAATATATTTGTGCTCATAGATATGGAAGTAACAGGTGGAGGGCTATGATATTTTCTGTAACTAGATGTATACTGTAGAGTTCATTGAATGTATATTCCTCCAATGATTTTGTGTTGGAGTAGTTACAGAAAAGATCTCAGTCTTTGACCCCCTGCCTCCTTATCTATGAACAAAGATAAACTGACTTGAAAATTATTTTTTCCTGAATTTTTTTTTCCTTTTCACACCTAACTTAAATCACAAAAGAGTTGTAACATTTTAGTTGTTAAATGGTGTACTGTATTTTTTCTACATATTCAGGATTTTATTCTTTTGTACTGAAAAATTATCTAGTTCACAGGATGCTGAACTCAGATTTATTTATTTTTTTATAACTTCTGAGTTTGCCTACAGTATCAATGCATTTGTGTTGCATGACATGACGTCCCTGATGCAACAGATGTTGCAATCCCTATCTAAACAGCCGCTTGCTCTTTTGCATATGAAATCTTTCTCCTTCAATTCTTCTTTTTCAAGACAGGTTTTGTATTGCCCCTAAAAATCTTGCCAATGAATTACCTTTACGAGTATCAAAATACTTCTCATACAGTTAGGTCAGGAGGTATGTAGAATAAAATATGACCTACTCAAATATGTCGCACCTCTAGATGGTTTCAGTAAATCAAAAAATGGATATGTTGCAATTCTGTTAAATAATGCATTCAGTTTGAATTATGTCATTTGGCTACAAGACAACAGTACGTGTACTGTGTTGTTAAATATTAATTTTTATACAGGCATACCTCGTTTTATTGCGCTTCGCTTTATTGCGCTTCGCAGATATTGCGTTTTTTACAAATTGAAGGTTTGTGGCAACCCTGCGTCGAGCAAGTCTATCGGTGCCATTTTTCCATCGGCGCCATTTTGATGGTTAGCATTTTTTAGCAATAAAGTATTTTTTAATTAAGGTATGTACATTGTTTTTTTAGACATAATGCTATTGTACACTTAATAGACTACAGTATAGTGTAAACATAACTTTTATATGCGCTGGGAAACCAAAAAATTCGTGTGACTCGCTTTATTGCGATATTCACTTTATTGCGGTGGTCTGGAACCGAACCCGCAATATCTCCAAAGTATGCCTGTACTAGGGAAATGTTTTGCTGAGGAAGACAGTGCACTGCATTGCCATAGGTTGAACTTAATTATTACTAAAACTGTTGCATTAATAATATATCCTGAGCTCTAGGGATTAGATTTTTATATGTATTTATAATTTCCTGTTGATTTCTTGTTTTCTGCCTGGATTGTAATTGTAGGAGCTCTTAAAGCACTGGTATCCAGATTTGTTTAGAAATAGTTAAGCACCTGAAGAGGCAAATGAGAGCCTAGGCTATTTTTTTGTTGTTTGTTTTTTCAAATGGAACTAGATACTAAACCGGATTTAATTTTTATGCTATAGACGTATAGGCACTTTAAAAAAAAAAAAATCTCACAAAGTGCTCGCCTCCATGTTTAGATGCCAACAGGCCTTTCAAAATAAGGGGACTTGAGGTTTAATGTTTTTGTTCATGGTATCTGTGGTATGTTGCATGTGGTAACAGGTTGTATTTTTGGGAGATGGGTATGAAAACTTTTAGAGCTTTATAAGATAGGGTCAAGTCTTTGACTTCCACCTAGAAAGCAGTAGGCAGCCAGTATATATCAAAGAGTACATGTTGTCACACACTCACTGCAGTATCATCTGCTTGACACATTCACTTCTGCTTTCTCATCACCTTATCAAATCGATTTAAAATATTTGAGCATGTACAGTCATTGTAGTAACTTTTATATTCAGAGGGTATCCTGGCAGCAAGTCGGACATTTTAAGGAAAAGGGTGGATTTTCTGTTTATGAAATACTTCTAGTCACTATTTAGTCCTGAAAACCAGATGAAGTTCTAACAAGATGTCTGGATTGGAGACTCAAATTACAAGACACTTCAGTAAGACTAGAGACAGACGTTGTATATAAACTGGTTTAAGTTATCAGAAACTGATTTAAACCTGTAACAGAAGAGATGTTCAGTTCAAATAAACCAGTTTGAAAATGGCTGAGATCAGTTTGAGATAAACCTGGTTGAATGTAGCATCAGACTTAAATGATTTGGGTCAAACCAATTTATGCAATGTCTGTCCCAGACCCCTTGCTGGTTTAAGATAAACCAGACACCCCCCAGCATCCCAACATGCTCTCTGGGCTGGGCAGGGCTCTCTGCTTCACAGCAGGGGTCACCCCTCCCCTCTGCTCCCTGACTGCAGCTCCAGAAACTTGCAGGTTGCACCCCTCCCCTCTTCCCCCTCACTACTTCCTGCTAAGCAGGAATTCCCCCCCTTCCCTTTGTGCTGCTAAGAGATGTCTGTGTAATAGCTAGCAGACCACATACTGGCTCTGGTCTGTGCTGTGACAAAGGCAGAATCAACAGGTAGCTGGTAATGTTGCTCTGTTGTTTTCTTAATGGGGTGATAAACACTGAATTAGGGGTGATAAACACTCTTATCAATTCCCTGCTGGGCTAATCAGAGTGTCCTGCTGGGGCCTGGTTACACCCCACCTGCCCTGCTCAGCTCAGTGCTGTGGAAGGGAAGGGAGGACTGCTCTAGTTCCTTCCAGCTTCACAAAGTGATTTAGTCTAGCCGGGTTAGACTAACTTGCAAATATTGAATCAATTCTGCTCAGGCTTTTTGAATGTCTGTCCCTAACCTAAAACGGATGAATTTAATCAGCAACATTTCCTTTTATGAAAGGCATACAAATGATGTAAAACTTCTATGTAAACATTTGATTCTTTTTTTGCATGTAAACTGAAAATGTAATTTTGATTTTCTTGAATAAACACACATTTTCTGAAAAGCAGCGACCAGAACACTGTTTTCTGAAAACTAACAAAATAAATTAACAAACATACTAAAGAACAAGATGGAAAAATGGAGTTGGGGAGACGTATGCAATGCTGAACAAAGCCAGATCAGAGCTAGGTTGGGTTTTATCATTTTAATTAATGGTTAAGGTAAATAGCAATGAATTTCTAAAGTTGTGAATGTTTGTAATTTGGGAGTGAATATGACCAACTCCTACCTAGTGCAGAGAAATACTAAAAGAACTAGGGAATTTAGAAACTTATACAGAAAATGAGATTCACTTAGAGAAAAAGAAAGCTAATATATATCCACAAAAATATGATCATGTTATACATGTATACATACTGGGCATGTCTACATGAGATGCTAACTGCACAGTAGCTTAGTAATACTGCTCAGTAGCGTGTCACAGCCCAAACAGTGTTAATATGCTCCTGTGCAGTATTATTAAGTTACTGTGCAGCAGCATCGCTAAAAAGGTGGTTGCTGGCACTACTGCGCAATAACTCCAGTTACTGCACATTTATGAATGCGCGTAGTTACTATGCATTTATTTAGTACTTGTATAATCAAGTACTAAATAAATGTGCAGTAAGTACTGCGCCTTAATGAATGTGTAGATGCACCCACTGGTATGGAGAAAATAGAGAAGTAGTACTTTTAAGAGTTCTAGGGGTGATCGTTGACAATAAATTGAATGGATTTTTTTGCATATTACAGGGAATTCATTGTTAATAAGATATATAGAAAAATGTTATCACAAAATGTAAAGGAAAAAATCTTCCTACATGGTTCTAACATAGCCATTCCTGAAATATTTTATTAGGTTCTAAGCATCACGTCATTACAAAGATACTGATAAATTCAAATGAGTTAAGAGACAGAAAGCAAAAACAGGTAGAGTATTTGAGTGACTGATTTGAGAAGAGGCGTCAAAATCTGATCCTGAGAGATGCTAAGTACTTTCAACTCCTACTAAATGGTAAAGGGATGAAAAAAGTCATATCATCTTGGGTGAGAAGTTAGGTGCTACCATAATAAATCTTGGTGTAATTAATAGTAATGATTTCCACTACTTCAAATGATAATTATAAAAGGGAAACAATCTAAGGGGTATATACACAAAGAATAGAGAATTCCGAGTAGGGTGAGACAAGGAATAGCAAAATCAAATTAATAAACGGGAAGTTTAGACTTAATATTAGGAACAACTTCTTAGCAATGAACTTCTAGGCAGGTTCTTGGGGATGGTAGACAGATGCATGATATCTAAAGAAAAAAGGAGGAGTCCAGTTGTTTGAGACTTTTAAATCTGGTCTTCACAGACTGCTGAACAATTAGGAAGATTTCTTCACCAACTGTACTGGAAGACCTATTAGGAGTCTTATATCTCTCATTTCATATTGTTATATCAAGTTCCTGTACTTATTATATGACCTTTGGTACACTTATTTTCTACAGGAGAAACATATGCGTGAATTAGAAGACATGAGGAAAGGTGGACATGAAGCCCTGAGTATTATTGTGGAAGAATTCAAGGTAAATAAGCCATGAGGACAGTGTTCATTGTACATTAGTTATAACCTGTATTGTAAACTTCAGTAAAAGTAGCACATACAATGTTAAGGTTGTTCAGCATTTCCCGTTATAAAACACTGTTTTCAGCAGATTATTGTTTTGCCAAACTTTAACCATTTGCACTGAAAATTTGCATCCTGGGTAGGTGTCTTGGGTTGCATTTTTTGAATGTTTCAGGCAAAATGGCTCAACCTTTTCCAAAATTGAACATATTGCATTTCCCTTGTTAAATCATCATGGTCTTTTCTTTTATGAACTTTACTGCCTCTCTGTATTAGAGTTCTTAGTGCTGATGAGATTGTGGACATGTGACCTTCACAGACCAACTCAACAATTCCAGCCAAGAAGCATAGTGGCACATCCACATTTTCTCTGTAATGTGGCTGTTCCTGGGTGGTCTAAACCAGAATGTGGAGCTAGGCATTGGAACCCAGAACAGGGAATATGCTCGCCTTGCACTGTTGTTGTCCATTCCTCCATCCTTGTTGCCATCCAGGGAGTATAGAGAAAGATATTTTCTCCAAACACACCCACAACAAAGTCTGAATCAGAGGCAAGGCAAAGAAGTAGATGGGGCTAAGGAATCTGTTTAGATTAAGGAGAGAAGCTGGGGGGGGCGGGGCAGGTGTGGGGGAGGCAGCTCCCGCTACTGCTTGCACCCCAGAAGGGAGGAGAGTGTGCCCTCAGATCAAGGTGTGGGGGCTGTGCGGGGCTCTGAGCAGGGGCTGGGTTTAGAGCGGGCACTGGCAGGATACTGCATCTACTCCAAATTTCACTGTTGCTCTACTCCCAGCGCTGCTGCTGCCAGCTGCCCAGCACAGCCTCGACTCTTCGATGCTTCGGTGGAGGTTGGGTATTGAGCGGAGGACCGGTGAAATTTGGGGTGAATGTAGCATCCTCCCACTGCCGCCGGTGCCTGCTCTGAGAACAGCCCCTGCCGAGAACAGCCCCATGCAGCCCTGGCTCATACACTCCTCACCAGACTTTGGAATGAAACCCATTATTTCCTGATTCTCACCATTCTCACTCAGTCAGCCAGTATCTGTGAAATCCAGTGGTGTAGTGTGTCTCATTCCCTTCTGGTGCTCACAAGGCCTATGGATCTGTGGTAGTTAGCTGTGTCAAAGCTTTCAGGATTGCAGCTGTGAAACTGGGAGTGAGAAGCCCTGGCTTAACCAGGACTCTTAGGACTTCTTCCAGGCTCCCTTCTGTGGAATCAGGACTTCCAGACAGTCTGTCTTTAGGGCATCTCCACACTATGAACTGTCTCAGGGTAGGGGATCCCAGTGATCCCACTGTCCACAGCTCTGAGGCATTCAGTAGTGGCCACACAGAGTATCTATAAATACATCTCAAGGTCTTATGTCTAAAAAAAGGTGTTATCCTTTGCTGTATACTTAGTTCATGAAAAGCAGAGATCCTCTAGGAATTTTAATTAGATTGAAGATTCAGTATAATGAAATAAGTAAAATATAAGCAATATATTGCAATATATTGCTCAGGAGGGCAAACTTCAGCGAGCTAAGGAGGATAGTTGGAGAAGCGCTAAGGTTCCAGAGGGGAGGGGAGCCAGGTGTCCAAGGAGAGTGGTCACTCCTTAAGGAGACGATCCTCCAAGCCCAAAGGAAGGTAATCCCAATGAGGATCAAAGGGAGCAGGAGAGCACACAAGCCTCCATGGCTCACCAAAAGCATCCGGAAATGTCTCCTTGCTAAAAAGGAGGCATACACCCAATGGAAAGAAGGGATCATCACCAGAGATGACTATTCTGCAGTTGCTCGGGGATGTAGGGGGGTAGTTAGGAAGGCCAAGGCAGAGATGGAATTAGGACTAGCTTCCCAGATTAAGGACAATAAGAAGTCCTTTTTTAA